ATTAGATATCTGTTTATGTTCTCATTTGTAGGGGGATGTTTATGATATCATGAGTTTTGTAGTCCATGGGGGATGTACATGGTATCTGTAATCCTGTAATCCAATGAAGGGGAATGTTATGATATCATGATGTCATTCTGTAATCCATGAGGGGATGTTATGATATCATGATGTCATTCTGTAATTCATGAGGGGGATGTTATGATATCATGATGTCATTCTGTAGTCCATGAGGGGGATGTTATGATATCATGATGTCATTCTGTAGTCCATGAGGGGGATGTTATGATATCATGATGTCATTCTGTAATCCATGAAGGGGATGTTATGATATCATGATGTCATTCTGTAATCCATGAAGGGGATGTTATGATATCATGATGTCATTCTGTAATCCATGAGGGGGATGTTATGAAATCATGATGTAATTCTGTAATTCATGAGGGGGATGTTATGATATCATGATGTCATTCTGTAATCCATGAGGGGGATGTTATGATATCATGATGTCATTCTGTAATCCATGAGGGGGATGTTATGATATCATGATGTCATTCTGTAATCCATGAAGGGGATGTTATGATTTCATGATGTCATTATGTAGTCCGTGAGGGGATTGCCGCATTCATGTGCTAGTCGGAACTAGGAAACTCTTAAATGTATGACTTGCTAACTGGTTGCAGTTATACACGTGCCGCTTTCAACGTATCAGCAAGTCGGAAATTTCAGAGTTTCCTAGTTTTGATTAGCATATGAACGTGCCATAATGCCGCATTCAGAACAACGGGGAACTCGGAACTGGGAACTCCGAAATCTCTAACTTCCGACTTCAGTGTGTTCAAAACAACTGGGAACTCGGAAAAATACAAGCGCCGACTGGGAAAAATCGATTTGAACAGTCATCCAACTCGGAATTTCAACTCGGGAACTCTGGCCTCTTTCTAGAGCGTCAACTTTCCGACCTGAAGATCACTGACGTCATGATTTGACCTTGTATTTTTAAACGCGGCAAGATGGCTGAGTTTCTGACTTGGAATTCTGAGCTGGATGACCGTTCAAAACTATTTTTCCCAGTCGGAGTTCCCAGTTGTCTTGAACACACTGAAGTCAGAAGTATGAGATTTTCCGAGATCCCAGGTCCCAGTTGTTTTGAATGCGGCAGATGTCATTCCGTAGCCTGTGAGGGGGATGTTATGATGTCATTTTGTAGTCCATGAGGGGGATGTGATGATGTAATTCTGTAGTCCAAGAGGGGGAGGTAATGATGTAATTCTGTAGTCCATGAGAGGAATGTGTAAGGAGGAGGACTATGCGTTCCTGGGAGAGAAGGGGAAACACCATAAGGAGACAGACACTCTGGGAGAAGACTGGAAGGAAGAGAAAATGGAGAGGGTGAATATCTACCTCTATCTCTCTCTAGGAGGGGGTGAATATCTACCTCTATCTCTCTCTAGGAGAGGGTGAATATCTACCTCTATCTCTCTCTAGGAGAGGGAGAATATCTACCTCTATCTCTCTAGGAGAGGGTGAATATCTACCTCTATCTCTCTAGGAGAGGGTGAATATCTACCTCTATCTCTCTAGGAGAGGGTGAATATCTACCTCTATCTCTCTCTAGGAGAGGGTGAATATCTACCTCTATCTCTCTCTAGAAGAGGGTGAATATCTACCTCTATCTCTCTCTAGGAGAGGGTGAATATCTACCTCTATCTCTCTCTAGGAGAGGGTGAATATCTACCTCTATCTCTCTCTAGGAGAGGGTGAATATCTACCTCTATCTCTCTCTAGGAGAGGGTGAATATCTACCTCTATCTCTCTCTAGGAGAGGGTGAATATCTATCTCTATCTATCTCTAGGAGAGGGTGAATATCTACCTCTATCTCTCTCTAGGAGAGGGTGAATATCTACCTCTATCTCTCTCTAGGAGAGGGTGAATATCTACCTCTATCTCTCTAGGAGAGGGTGCATATCTACCTCTATCTCTTTCTAGGAGAGGGTGAATATCTACCTCTATCTCTCTCTAGGAGAGGGTGAATATCTACCTCTATCTCTCTAGGAGAGGGTGAATATCTACCTCTATCTCTCTCTAGGAGAGGGTGAATATCTACCTCTATCTCTCTCTAGGAGAGGGTGAATATCTACCTCTATCTCTCTCTAGGAGAGGGTGAATATCTACCTCTATCTCTCTCTAGGAGAGGGTGGATACAGTATATGTTCTCTATCTGCTGCCTGCTAACTCAGATGGGTTTCGTAAACTAGGGGTTTTCTCTGGCCCTTTCTGGTTTTACTGGTTCATACCTGCAGCAGTGTGATGGAACTTCCTGTGATGTTACTTCCTGTGATGTAACTTCCTCTGGTTGCCAGGAGCGGCGGCGGCGGGAGCGAGTGCAGCAGGAGCAGGAAAGAATCAGAGAACTGGAGGAGAGTAGAAAGGTAACACACACACACTCAGACACCTTTCAACAACCACACATCCCTAAACACTTCCATAAAGCCAGGCTGCAGGGAACATCCCTAAACCCTTCCATAAAGCCAGGCTGCAGGGTTAGGGTTGTTGGCTGCAGGGTTAGGGTTGTTGGCTGCAGGGTTGTTGGCTGCAGGGTTGTTGGCTGCAGGGTTGTTGGCTGCAGGGTTGTTGGCTGCAGGGTTGTTGGCTGCAGGGTTGTTGGCTGCAGGGTTGTTGGCTGCAGGGATTGAAGGTGATTAGTGTAGCGATGGTCTTTCAGCACGGTTCGCTGTGAGACTCTGTTCCTGTCCCAAACCAAACACACTGGCCCAGGGGCAGGAGCTGCTGCCTCACACAGACGCATGTCCAAACACACTCATACATTCCCACACGCTGCGAGCTGAGAGCAGTCTACTCTCTAGCAGGCTGTGTCTGTGTGCGTACGTGCGTACGTGCGTGAGACAAGCATGTTGTTGTGGTTGCTTCTGCTTGTCTCTGTTACTCTCTACATCGCTGACTGTCTGCACAACTAGCTCCACATGTATCAACAAGCTGATGGGGCTTCAGACTGACAGAACCCTCTATATATATAAACAGTGTATGATGAAAGCGTGAGTGTGACTGCTGACAGTGTGTCCACAGAGCCTGGCTGGCCATTATTATCTATCAGCCGGGCTGACCATTATTATCTATCAGCCGGGCTGGCCATTAATATCTGTCAGCCGGACTGGCCATTATTATCTATCAGCCGGACTGGCCATTATTATCTATCAGCCGGGCTGGCCATTATTATCTATCAGCCTGGCTGGACATTATTATCTATCAACCTGGCTGGCCATTATTATCATTCAGCCGGACTGGCCATTATTATCTGTCAGCCGGGCTGGCCATTATTATCTATCAACCTGGCTGGCCATTATTATCTATCAGCCGGACTGGCCATTATTATCTGTCAGCCGGGCTGGCCTTTATAATCTATCAGCCTGGCTGGCCATTATTATCTATCAGCCGGGCTGACCATTATTATCTATCAGCTTGGCTGGCCATTAATATCTATCAGCCTGGCTGGCCATTATTATCTATCAGCCGGACTGGCCATAATTATCTATCAGCCTGGCTGGCCATAATTATCTATCAGCCTGGCTGGCCATTATTATCTATCAGCCTGGCTGACCATTATTATCTATCAGCCTGGCTGGACATTATTATCTATCAGCCGGGCTGGCCATTATTATCTATCAGCCTGGCTGGCCATTATTATCTATCAGCCGGACTGGCCATTATTATCTGTCAGCCTGGCTGGCCATTATTATCTATCAGCCTGGCTGGCCATTATTATCTATCAGCCGGGCTGACCATTATTATCTATCAGCTTGGCTGGCCATTAATATCTATCAGCCGGACTGGCCATTATTATCTGTCAGCCGGGCTGGCCTTTATTATCTATCAGCCTGGCTGGCCATTATTATCTATCAACCTGGCTGGCCATTATTATCTATCAGCCGGACTGGCCATTATTATCTGTCAGCCGGGCTGGCCTTTATTATCTATCAGCCTGGCTGGCCATTATTATCTATCAGCCGGGCTGACCATTATTATCTATCAGCTTGGCTGGCCATTAATATCTATCAGCCTGGCTGGCCATTATTATCTGTCAGCCGGACTGGCCATAATTATCTATCAGCCTGGCTGGCCATTATTATCTATCAGCCGGGCTGACCATTATTATCTATCAGCTTGGCTGGCCATTAATATCTATCAGCCTGGCTGGCCATTATTATCTATCAGCCGGACTGGCCATAATTATCTATCAGCCTGGCTGGCCATTATTATCTATCAGCCTGGCTGACCATTATTATCTATCAGCCGGGCTGACCATTATTATCTATCAGCCGGGCTGACCATTATTATCTATCAGCCTGGCTGGCCATTATTATCTATCAGCCTGGCTGACCATTATTATCTATCAGCCGGACTGACCATTATTATCTATCAGCCTGGCTGGCCATTATTATCTATCAGCCGGACTGACCATTATTATCTGTCAGCCTGGCTGGCCATTATAATCTATCAGCCGGGCTGACCATTATTATCTATCAGCCGGGCTGACCATCATTATCTATCAGCCTGGCTGGACATTATTATCTATCAGCCTGGCTGGACATTATTATCTATCAGGCTGGCTGGACATTATTATCTATCAACCTGGCTGGCCATTATTATCTATCAGCCTGGCTGGCCATTATTATCTATCAGCCTGGCTGGCCATTACTATCTATCAGCCTGGCTGGCCATTATTATCTATCAGCCTGGCTGGCCATTATTATCTATCAGCCTGGCTGGCCATTATTATCTATCAGCCTGGCTGGCCATTATTATCTATCAGCCTGGGGCATTATTATCTATCAGCCTGGCTGGCCATTATTATCTATCAGCCTGGCTGGCCATTATTATCTATCAGCCGGCTGGCCATTTATCTATCAGCCTGCTGGCCATTACTATCTATCAGCCTGGCTGGCCATTATTATCTATCAGCCTGGCTGGCCATTATTATCTATCAGCCTGGCTGGCCATTATTATCTATCAGCCTGGCTGGCCATTATTATCTATCAGCCTGGCTGGCCATTACTATCTATCAGCCTGGCTGGCCATTATTATCTATCAGCCGGACTGGCCATTATTATCTATCAGCCTGGCTGGCCATTATTATCTATCAGCCGGCTGGCCATTATTATCTATCAGCCGGGCTGGCCATTACTATCTATCAGCCTGGCTGGCCATTATATCTATCAGCCAGGCTGGCCATTATATTATCAGCCTGGCTGGCCATTACTATCTATCAGCCGGCTGGCCATTATTATCTATCAGCCGGCTGGCCATTATATCTATCAGCCTGGCTGGCCATTTTATTTGTTATGGTGGCCTTATTATCTATCGCCTGGCTGGCCATTAATATCTATCAGCCTGCTGGCTTTCTATAGCGACTGGCCATTATTATCTATCCCAAAGCCTGGCTGGCACATTATTATCTATCAGCCGGTGCTGGCCATTATTATCTGTCAGGCGGGTCTGGACCATTTTATCTATCAACCTGGCTGGCCATGTGTGTGTTGTGTGTGTGTGTGTGTGTGTGTTGTGTGTGTGTGTGTGGGTGTGTGTTGTAGACGAGGTGCCAAAACATGTTTTGAGAGATTATGAAAGAGGAGCGCTTCTGATTGAACAGTTCCCATATGTAGAACTGTAGCTCTTCAGCAGCCATACACACCACACACACCACCACACACCACCACACACACACACATACACACACACAGACACACACACACGCAACACACACACACACACTACAGACAGGAAACAGTATCCGGCGGGCCCTGCTGGGGCATGTAACTGACAGGGGTCAGGGGTTAGACCCAGCCCTGTCCATCAAGAGGGAAGAGAGGATTAACAAACCTGTGTGTGTGTGGTGTGTGTGTGTGTGTGTGTGTGTGGTGTGGTGTGTGTGTGGTGTGTGTGTGTGTGTGTGGTGTGTGTGTGTGTGTGTGTGTGGTGTGTGGTGTGTGTGTGGTTGTGTGTGTGTGTGTGTGTGTGGTGTGGTGTGTGTGTGTGTGTGGTGTTGTGTGTGTGTGGTTGTGTGTGTGTGTGTGTGTGTGGTGGTGTGGTGTGTGTGTGTGGCGTGTGGTGTGTGTGTGTGTGTGTGTGTGGTGTGTGTGTGTGTGTGTGTGGCGTGTGGTGTGTGTGTGTGTGTGTCTCAGGAGAAGGAGCAGCAGTGGCGTCATCATGTATCAGAGCTGGCCTCCACTCAGGATCAGAGACTCAGAGACAGACTGGCACGGATCCACCACTTCAGAGTAACACACACACACACATACACAACACACACACGTACACAACACACGGACAAGTGCACACACACACACACACACACACACACACACACGGACAAGTGCACACACACACACACACACAAGACTCAGGGGCTGTCACACACGTACACACACACACGCACAAACGTACACACACACACGCACAAACACACGGACATACACACACACGTAGGCGTGCTCACACACACACACCTCACTGATCCCCTGTTCATCCCTAGAGGCTGACACCATGTCCACTCTGTCAGATGACAGCAGCTGATGGACTATGGAAGCTATGAGGACAACATGGACACAGCTCAGTTTAACGGCAAAGAACAGCTTTAGGAGTTCCACAAACACATATCTTCTAATGTTTGAAACATGGACACAGCTCAGTTTAACGGCAAAGAACAGCTTTAGGAGTTCCACAAACACATATCTTCTAATGTTTGAAACATGGACACAGCTCAGTTTAACGTCAAAGAACAGCTTTAGGAGTTCCACAAACACATATCTTCTAATGTTTGAAACATGGACACAGCTCAGTTTAACGTCAAAGAACAGCTTTAGGAGTTCCACAAACACATATCTTCTAATGTTTGAAACATGGACACAGCTCAGTTTAACGTCAAAGAACAGCTTTAGGAGTTCCAGAAACACATATCTTCTAATGTTTGAAACATGGTCATTGAGGGTCCATGTATCAGAACCCAACCTACTGTTCAGGGTACAGAGACTGCCACCATTTATCAACACTGTGGTTCAGGAGTAGCAGAGATTCACTGACGTGATGTGATCTGGGCGTGTGTGATGTTGTCTCTCTCCCTGCAGGACTTCCAGAGGAAGGTGCTTGTAGAGGAGATGTCCCTCCAGACAGACTCTGAGTCCAGCCAAGCCCTGGATCAGCTGCTTACCAGGACCTAGACAACATCGACCCACAGGAAAGACCCATTTCACAACCAGTTCACAGACAACCGGTCTCTTCTTGTCAGTATATATCTATAGTTAACTCTCTCCACTAACACCTGTCTGCTGTTCAGTCTACATAGTGATCTAGTCTGTATAGATCTATAGTCATCTCTCTACATAATGATCTAGTCTGTATAGATCTATAGTCATCTCTCTACAATAGTGATCTATCTGTATAATCTAATAGTCATCTCTCTCCACCTGTCTGCTGTTCAGTCTACATAGTGATCTAGTCTGTATAGATCTATAGTCATCTCTCTACATAGTGATCTAGTCTGTATAGATCTATAGTCATCTCTCTACATAGTGATCTAGTCTGTATAGATCTATAGTCATCTCTCTCCACCTGTCTGCTGTTCAGTCTACATAGTGATCTAGTCTGTATAGATCTATAGTCATCTCTCTACAGAGTGATCTAGTCTGTATAGATCTATAGTCATCTCTCTCCACTGTCTGCTGTTCAGTCTACATGTGATCTAGCTGTATATATCTATAGTCATCTCTCTACATAGTGATCTAGTCTGTATAGATCTATAGTCATCTCTCTCCACCTGTCTGCTGTTCAGTCTACATAGTGATCTAGTCTGTATAGATCTATAGTCATCTCTCTACAGAGTGATCTAGTCTGTATAGATCTATAGTCATCTCTCTCCACCTGTCTGCTGTTCAGTCTACATAGTGATCTAGTCTGTATAGATCTATAGTCATCTCTCTACATAGTGATCTAGTCTGTATAGATCTATAGTCATCTCTCTCCACCTGTCTGCTGTTCAGTCTACATAGTGATCTAGTCTGTATAGATCTATAGTCCCTCTCTCTCATAGTGATCTAGTCTGTATAATCTATGTCATCTCTCTCCACCTGTCTGCTGTTCAGTCTACATGTGATCTTCTGTATGATCTATATCCTCTCTCTACATAGTGATCTAGTCTGTATAGATCTATAGTCATCCTCTCCCACCTGTCTGCTTGTTCAGTCTACATAGTGATCTAGTCCCGTATAGATCTATAGTCATCTCTCTACATAGTGATCTAAATCTGTATGATCTATAGTCATCTCTCTACATAGTGATCTAGTCTGTATAGATCTATAGTCATTTTCCCCCTCCACCTGTCTGCTGTTCAGTTTTACTATTGATCTAGTCTGTATAGATCTATAGTCTCCCCTCTACATAGTGATCTAGTCTGTATAATCTATAGTCATCTCTCTACATAGTGATCTAGTCTGTATAGATCTATAGTCATCTCTCTACATAGTGATCTAGTCTGTATAGATCTATAGTCATCTCTCTCCACCTGTCTGCTGTTCAGTCTACATAGTGATCTAGTCTGTATAGATCTATAGTCATCTCTCTACATAGTGATCTAGTCTGTATAGATCTATAGTCATCTCTCTCCACCTGTCTGCTGTTCAGTCTACATAGTGATCTAGTCTGTATAGATCTATAGTCATCTCTCTACATAGTGATCTAGTCTGTATAGATCTATAGTCATCTCTCCCACCGTCCGCTGTTCAGTCTACATAGTGATCTAGTCTGTATAGATCTATAGTCTCTCTCTACCTAGTGATCTAGTCTGTATAGATTCTATAGTTTATCTCCTCTACAGTGTTCTAGTCTGAAAAGACTATGTCATCTCTCTCCACCTGTCTGCTGTTCAGTCTACATAGTGATCTAGTCTGTATAGATCTATAGTCATCTCTCTACATAGTGATCTAGTCTGTATAGATCTATAGTCATCTCTCTCCACCTGTCTGCTGTTCAGTCTACATAGTGATCTAGTCGTATAGATCTATGTCATCTCTCTACATAGTGATCTAGTCTGTATAGATCTATGTCCTCTCTCTCCACCTTCTGCTGTTCAGTCTACATAGTGATCTAGTTCTGTAATAGATCTATAAATCATCTCTCTACATAGTGATCTAATCTGTAAGATCTATAGTCCCTCCTCCACCTGTCGCTGTTCAGTCCTACATATGATCTATTCTGTATAGATCTATATTCATCTCTCTCTCACCTGTCTGCTGTTCAGTCTACATAGTGATCTAGTCTGTATATCTATGTCATCTCTCTCCACCTGTCCCGGGTGTTCAAGTCTACATAGTGATCTATCTGTATAGAAACTATAGTCATCTCTCTACATAGTGACTAGTCTGTATAGATCTATGTCCATCTCTCTCCCCCCTGTCTGCTGTTTTAGTCTACATAGTGATCTATCTGTATGATCATAGTCATCTCTCTACATAGTGTCTAGTCTGTATGATCTTAGTCATCTCTCTCCACCTGTCTGCTGTTTTAGTCTACATAGTGACTAGTCTGTATAGATCTATATGTCTCTCTCTACTGTGATCTAGTCTGTATAGATCTATAGTCCCTCTCTCTACATAGTGATCTAGTCTGTATGATCTATAGTCTCTCTCTCCCCCGTCTGCTGTTCAGTCTACCTAGTGATCTAGTCTGTATAGATCTATAGTCTTTTCTCTACATAGTGATCTAGTCTGTATAATCTATAGTCATCTCTCTCCACCTGTCTGCTGTTTCATCTACATGTGATCTAGTCCCGTATAGATCTATAGTCATCTCTCTACATAGTGATCTAGTCTGTATAGATCTATAGTCATCTCTCTACATAGTGATCTAGTCTGTATAGATCTATAGTCATCTCTCTACATAGTGATCTAGTCTGTATAGATCTATAGTCATCTCTCTACATAGTGATCTAGTCTGTATAGATCTATAGTCATCTCTCTCCACCTGTCTGCTGTTCAGTCTACATAGTGATCTAGTCTGTATAGATCTATAGTCATCTCCCTACATATGATCTAGTTTTGTATAGATCTATATCATCTCTCCCACCTGTCTGCTGTTCAGTCTACATAGTGATCTAGTCTGTATAGATCTATAGTCATCTCTCTACTATGATCTAGTCTGTATAGATCTATAGTCATCTCTCTCCACCTGTCTGCTGTTCAGTCTACATAGTGATCTAGTCTGTATAGATCTATAGTCATCTCTCTACATAGTGATCTAGTCTGTATAGATCTATAGTCATCTCTCTACATAGTGATCTAGTCTGTATAGAAACTATATCATCTCTCTCCACCTTGTCTGCTGTTCAAATCTACATAGTGACTAGTCTTATAGATCTATATCATCTCTCTACAGAGTGATCTAGTCTGTATAGATCTATAGTCATCTCTCTTTCCCCCTGTCTGCTGTTCCGTCTACATATGTGATCTAGTCTGTATAGATCTATAGTCCTCTCTCTACATAGTGATCTAGTCTGTATAGATCATAGTCATCTCTCTACATAGTGATCTAGTCTGTAGATTATTATTCATCTCTCTACAAAAGTGACTAGTCTGTATAGATCTATAGTCATCTCTCTACATAGTGATCTAGTCTGTATAGATCTATAGTCATCTCTCTACATAGTGATCTAGTCTGTATAGTCTATAGTCATCTCTCTCCTCCACCTGTCTGCTGTTCAGTCCTTACATAGTGATCTAGTCTGTATAGATCTATAGTCATCTCTCTACAATGATCTAGTCTGTATAGATCTATAGTATCCTCTCTCCCACCTGTCTGCTGTTCAGTCTACATAGTGGGTCTAGTCTGTATAGATCTATAGTCTCTCTCTACATATGATCTAGTCTGTATAGATCTAAAAGTCATCTCTCTCCACCTTCTGCTGTTCAGTCTACAGAGTGATCTAGTCTGTATAGATCTATAGTCATCTCTCTACATAGTGATCTAGTCTGTATAGATCTATAGTCATCTCTCTCCACCTGTCTGCTGTTCAGTCTACATAGTGATCTAGTCTGTATAGATCTATAGTCATCTCTCTACATAGTGATCTAGTCTGTATAGATCTATAGTCATCTCTCTACATAGTGATCTATCTGTTATAGATCTATAGTCCATCTCTCTCCACCTGTCCTGCTGTTCAGTCTACTGATCTAGTCTGTATAGATCTATAGTCATCTCTCTACAAGTGATCTATCTGTATAGATCTAAGTTTATCTCTCTCCACCTGTCCTGCTGTTCAGTCTACATAGTGATCTAGTCTGTATAGATCTATAGTCATCTCTCTACATAGTGATCTAGTCTGTATAGATCTATAGTCATCTCTCTACATAGTGATCTAGTCTGTATAGATCTATAGTCATCTCTCTCCACCTGTCTGCTGTTCAGTCTATAGAGTGATCTAGTCTGTATAGTTAGAAACCAGTAGAGTAGAAACCAGCTGAATCTCCTCACAGTTAGAAACCAGTAGAGTAGAAACCAGCTGAATCTCCACAGTTAGAAACCAGTAGAGTAGAAACCAGCTGAATCTCCACAGTTAGAAACCAGTAGAGTAGAAACCAGCTGAATCCCCCACAGTTTTGAAAACCCGTAGAGTAGAAACCACTAAATCTCCCATTTTAAAAAACCCAGTAGGTAAAACCACTATCTCCACAGTTGAAACCATAAGTAAAAACCAGCTAATCCCACATTAAAACCATAAGTAAAAAACCACTGATCTCCACATTAAAAACCATAAGTAGAAACCACTGAATCTCCCAGTTGAAACCATTAAAAATAAACCACTGATCTCCACATTAGAAACCAGAGAGTAAAAAACCACTAATCTCCCAGTCGAAACCAGAAGTAGAAACCACTAATCCCACTTTTAGAACCATAGAGTAGAACCCTAAAACTCCACTGTTAAAAAACCAGAAATAAAAACCACTGAATCCCCACAAAAATAAAAACCATAAGAGAAACCAGCAAAATCTCCCATAGTTAGAACCATAGAGTAAAAACCAGCTGAATCCCCAATTAGAAACCATTAGATAAAACCAGCTGAATCTCCACTTAAAAACCATAGGAGAAACCCTAAATTCCACATGTTGAAACCATAGAGTAAAACCAGCGAATCTCCACTATTGAAACCAGTAGAGTAAAACCAGGGGAACTCCACTATTTGAAACCATAAGTAAAAAACCACTGAATCCCCACATATTTAAAACCAGTAGATAAACCAGCTGAATCTCAATTAGAAACCAATAAGTAAAACCAGCTGAATCCCCCCAATTTAGAACCACTTGGAAAAACCAGCTGAATCGCCACATTTTTAAA